AAGATACTACAACGATTCACTTCAATATACGGACGTTGCAACTGCATAATGCGTACAAAACTTGGCGACAGCCTGTATGCATGTATATGTATGTACCTACGTACCTACGTACCTACGTACCTACGTACCTACGTACCTACGTATGTATGTAATATACACATTTCATTTCGTCATATGTTGTACAAACCTACTGTACTGACTTTTTTTCTTTACAGCAAGGTACTTGATGACTTTGAAATCTCCCCGATTCAAACTCGGGTTGCTATAATAGAGTTTTCAAGTCAAGCCACATTGGCGATTGGTTTAGATACGTATGGATCAAAGACGAGATTAAAGTGTGCTGTTGAAGCAATTAATCATCGAGGTTAGAAGTTGATAAATAGTCAACATTCATGGTGTGCATATATAAAGCGGAGTACTTCTCAACACTTAGCGAATTGACCTTTATCACCGTCGCCATGTTTATTCCCAGAATAAAAAACTTTGTTTAACCACGCGTAACCTCGTTCTAAAGCACTTGAATACGAAGCCACACGGGGGAAAACTATTGTCCCGTCAACATGGCTGCCGTGGTAAAACGGTCCATGCTTTGCCAATCCTTAGCAGAAAAAGCAGGTTTTAATTTTTTTATAAAATACATAGAAGCTGACACCGAAAGATGTCCTTGAAAATGACTACATAAGTATATTTTATGGTACAGTCATTAATTTGAGCCCCATACCCGGGCATTTGAGATACGCAGTTGATATGAAGCATGTGTTAAAAGCCTGCCTCCATGATGTCTGTCAGTGCAATAACAATTCATGAACATTCCACTAGTTGCATCACTAGATACATCTAATTAACGTACTTCCCATGTACCATTTCGGTCTCAGATTCTATTATGTTTTAAACCCGATAAGGAATTTGCAAATGAGAACTGTTACTGCATTTGACTATGATATTTTAGGTGGAGGTACCAATACCGCTGGGGCAGTTAGACTTGCCTACAATATCATGAAGACAGAAGAAGAGAAATCCCAAGAGATTCAGCAGATTATGATACTACTAACAGATGGGTATTCAAATAATAAATACGCTCTAGAGCAAGAGGTCAAAGTTGCAAAGGCAAATCTCACAGGTGATGATTTATTCTTGGAGTGCATGTTACTTCACAGCCGCCATATTGTTTGGCTATACAAAACATTCCTCATAAAGCCTCTCTTGTTAGATCAACCAAGATGGCGGTTGTTTCATTGTTATTTTCTCTCAAGGGATTTCTAGGTCACGTGGTTGCGCTTAAAAAAATATTTATGATGGTTTTGATGCTGCTACCTGTCCACTGGAAGATATGAATAGAACTTTTGCATAATTAAATCGTCAGTTCAATTCCGTCGTCCTAGCTTGATAAAGGCTGTGGCCCTTGTTCCACTTGTTATTGTGGAGGGGAGGAAAACCAGAAAACCCAGGGAAAACTGAACCCTTGAAACACAGGAAAAAACCAACGCAGCAATCAACTTTCACTTGCATGCTTACATTATATTGCAAATTTGAGGATCGAAACCTTGATTACCAGCGGTCGAAGGCGACCTTTAACACCAGCCATTTACCGCTAAACGCTAGGGATCAGGCTTAGAAACACGCTCAGAAACACGGGGAAACACTCGGCATCAATAATTCAGAAATTCAATATGTTCAATATGACGGCTCTTCCAGCAACGACTTCGTTCTGACGCCTTGCTGAATGTCGATAGTTTGACGGAAAACGCCTAACGTCAAACTGCAGTTCGAGGTTGCGGTACCTAGCAAGAACGTCGTGCTGCGCACACCATTTGGCCCACCCTCCATAAAAAAATGAGAACTGATTATTGTAAGGTTTCCAATAAAATTTTAAGGCAGACCGCGTGTGTTGAATGCCCGCAATGTTTGTTATGCAGCTATCACCAGAGCACCTCCTGATCATTATAGTGATGACTGAAACAAAAATGATTCCCTTCTTTATCAGGTCTGATATGAATGATTTTTTCCTGCACACAGGCGTAACCATGATAGCCATTGGTGTTGGAGGATACGACAGATATGAGCTTGAGATGATTGCAACTGATCCCACCAATCACGTGTTTACGTCTACAGATTTTACACAGTTGGCTGGCCTGGTGAGAACGTTACGCAGAAAAACTTGTGAGAGTAAGTTAAAGACAATCAAGTGGAATCAATTATAACTGTGCCGCATGAACGATGAATGGCTAATATATATATAGTCAAGGGTTAGGTCAAATAATTGCAGTCCTACGGGCTGGTTGTTGAGCGATTATTATTATCATTCATTATTATTATTATTATTATTATCATTATTACTATTATTATTATTATTGTTGTTGTTGTTGTCGTCGTTGTTA